CCCCAAAACCCCAAAACCCCAAAACCCCACAAGAATTATATATTATTGAAATAGATGAACCCTAAAACCTATATTAAGCATAGTGAGGAGAGAAAGCAGCTTACCCAGCCCTCAGGAAAGATCATCAACAACCATAGTTCACTAAGTGTTCATAGAAAGATCCAGAGGCTGTTTCAGACCCAGACAGTCTCTTCTATGAGAAAGAATATCTTTTGATCATCAAGGGATGCTAATAAGACCCTAAAACCAAGAGATAAATATGAGAGCCGCAAGAAAATGGCAAGGTTCTTTTCACCTCAAAATCCAAGATTTCGAAGATTAATGCTGAAATTTTGAAAAATGACCTCTCCACAGAATGTGAGGTTCCATTCCTCAATTAGAAGAAGGAAGCAGAGATCGAGAAATCAGCAAAAAATGGACAGGATTGTAACTAAGCTTAAGAAAGGTAACAAGACTATTATCAGTCCCAAATAAAATCAAATTCGATTGCTTATCCAAAAATACTCTTGAAGGTTCATTCAAAAGAAGAAGTTTGGTCAAGAGAATAGTTGCCAAAAAGAGGCCACATAAGGCTAAGAAACAAGAGCTGAAAGGTAAGAACATTGTAGGATTCTTTAAACCAAGATTGGATATAAAATACATATAAATAGCTTCCTGACAATGTTATATGAAATCTGTCTATTAGCTTAAACCTTGAAAATGTTCCATTAAAAGCTTTGGATCAACTAAAAATACAGCTTTCCTCACGATCGCCAAAGTTTAGAAATACTAAGTTACTAGAATTTAGTAAAAACTATTTTTCCATGATGCTAAATTTATTAGCTTTTGACTATTTACTTTTCTATATCATTAAAACTTCTAGAAGCTTTCCTGAAACATCTTAAGGCAACTAACAGGAAGATCTCATCTGGGTACATAACCTCACAAAAATCTTGAATGAATCATAAGTCCCAAGCGGCTGTTCAGAATAATGCCAGAAAAGCTCAAAAGAAAGACATTTCAAGAATGAAGCATCACAAAAATATAAGACGAGGAAGGTGAGTAAAAGTATTTTTAATAAAATTCACTAAATTTTTCACAAAAAATCTCTCTCCAAAAAACCTCAACAATAACACCTCCATAGCTCCCGGACACCCTCATATCCCCCTTCCGGCCACATAACAGTATCTGCTCTGTCCGATGACCCTAAGGCTGCACAGTCATTTTCCCACGTTCCATCACCGAAAGACCCTATTGCTCCAAATCCCTCAATTTCCCCTATAATTCCCTTTTAATTCTCTTTTATCTACTTCTTGATCTACTTATGACGACTAGACTCCTGCTAGCACGACTGGGGATCCTTGGACTTGTACTACGAGGTTTTGTGAAGTTTAAGGAATTTTGGGGGTTAGTTTAAGTGTTTTTATATGGGTTTTGGGGATTTGGGATAAGAGTTGGGAGAAGAAGGTTTTTGGGGGGAAGAGGGGGTAAATTGGGTTTTAGAGTGGAGATAAGCGGTATTGGAGGAAGAGAGAGGGTTTGAGGCGGGTTTAGGTTGGATTTTTGTATAATTAGGTTTTTAGGGGAGTTTTGTATCCTATGTAGAGGATATCTCGATTTGTTAGAAAATAATATAAATAATTGATGAAATTTATATGAATTTTTAACCCTGGGTTTATAATTTAGTTATTTTATATGTTGCTTAATGAAATTATTAAAAAAAATGCTTAGCAGTATTTAACTTGGTAAACTGGGAATAAGAATATATGCCAGAAGAATATAATCTAATCGAAACTTCTGGATGATTTCATTAGATTTTCAACTAAGCAATCAGAAAATAGAAGCTAAAGATAATTTATTATATAAACACTCAAAAGATATGTACGATATAAAAGATTTAGAGTAAGCTTCTTTGAGTTCTCCTTTGTGAATTGTTCCAAATCACAAATTTCCCATTTTCTAGGCTCGTTCAATTTGTTAATAATAACAATGATTGAGTACCTTGTTGTATTTGAAAATAGGGGGTCCTTTAAGCAAATAAAATTAAGAACAACTCTGACACTATTGAATCTGCCCTATGTGTAGTTTGGGCTTAACTTTATTTCAGGATTGATTTCTCCCATCTGAAATTTATACTTAAAATCCTTCCTCAGAGCATCAAAAGAGTGAAATATTTGTTGACTTTAAAAGCCCAATTCCTATTTTTAATGCTTTACCAAAGCACAAGGGGTTTTGGGGTTTTGGGGTTTTGGGGTTTTGGGG